ATTCATTTTTTACCATATATTCTATATAGCCCCGCCCTAGCACTAGAACCCCTAACCCTGGGGCCATGAAATTCACAATTTTGGAAGAGACAGCCTTATTCAACATAGCTATGCACTTGGTTAGTTTATTTAATGCCCATGAAAGAGAGGAAGAATTTCAAAGAATTTTTGCATTTTCACTATATAATCTATATAGCCCCAGCCTACCACTAGAACCCCGACCCTGGGGTCATTAAATTCACAATTTGAGAAGAGGCAGTCTTATTCGACATAACTATGCAGTTGGTTAGTTTATTTAATGCCCACAAACAGAAAAGAAGAATTAAAAAAAAAGTTATGCATTTTCACAATATAATCTATATAGCCCCGCCCTGGCACTAGAACCCCTGACCCTGGGGCCATGAAATTCAAAATTTTGGAAAAGGCGGTCATTTTCAACTTACCTATGCACTTGGTTAGTTTATTTAATGCCCAGGAGCAGACAAGAAGAATTTCAAAGAAATAATGCATTTTCACTATATAACCTGTTTAGCCCCGCCTTATCACTAGAACCCCTGACCCCAGGGCCATGAATTTCACAATTTTGGTAGAGGACTTAATGCTGATTACAATCATACCAACAGTTTGACTGCTTGAAGTCCCAGAGTAAAGAAGATTTTTAAAGATTGCACTAATTTTAGTGATTTTTGCCCCACCCCCCAGGCCCCAGGGGGGCAGGGACCATGAAATTCACAATTTTTGTTCCTCTTCACGTATAAATGCTATATGCCAAATTTGGTTGAAATTGGTTCAGCGGTTTCAGAGAAGAAGCTAAAAATCTTCAAATGTTAACGCACGACGAACGACGAAAATAGATAATAATAGGTCACCTGAGGTTACTCAGGTGACCTAAAAATTAAGAACATGAAGAAATACACTGTTTCTTAAAATGGCATTTTTCTGTAAGAAGAGTGAAGAAATGCAAATGGAAGTGCACATGCAAAGGTGGACATTTTTTACTCAATATTTTGTGCATCTGTGTGATTTGAAAATTGAATTGACATAATGTTATTCACAAGTAGAATTGTGGTTTAATGATTGAATGTTTCCATTTTGAGCAACTGGTTAATATTGCATAGTTTTAAATGTAATACACGTTATCATTCGGAAATCTCCACATCGGGTAAAAAATTACATCGACTGTGGGTGTTGGGTATCAAGAAACTGGTCGAAATTGAATCCATTTCCATTTTTGTTGCTTTGCAAGAAATACATGCATTAAATTGTGCACCTAATACTTCCCATTTGAATTGTTGCTTAGACATAGAACTTAGAAGGTATACGTCTATGCTTTAATGGAACTGAAAATTCAATTTACCTTATATGAATGTAGAAAGTATATCGCTCTATAGAGCACATTTGATATGCAACTGTAATTGTTGACAAACTTTTTACGGGTGGTGGGGGGTAACTTTGTTTTGTTTTTGAGATTTTACGATAAACTTTTCACGAGCAATTAAGTATTTGAAATAAACCAACAGATCAAATGGTGGAAAGGGGGTGTGGGGTGTGGGGGTGGGGGTGGACATAAATTAAATGATTCCTCTATCATAGATAAATCATAAATTAAATTTTCAATTCAACCCTTTGTCATGAACACAGATAAGAAAAATCATAAAATACAATAATTTGAAATAATATAATCATTTTCCCCCGAATATACTTTTATTTTTGTATGATATCTATGTGCGATATTTACGTGATATTTAACAAATACTTCGTAATCAGGTAATGGCGAAATATTTTACCTTCTTATATTTAAAACAAAATGCGTTTCTCTGAGCAGACTAATTTTAAAAGAATCAAATAATGAGGCATTTTAGGAAATTTTGTCATTATTTAGATTATCATCAGATTTGATAAAAACTTGTTATAAGAAAATAATTTCATTTAAATGAAAATTATGTCTGTTTTGTTTTTACTAATAATTGAATCAAAGATTTCACACCTTTTTTACAGATGTGCTGACACGGTTTCATAAATGTTTATAGTTAAAAAAATTTGATGTGTTTTATCTTAATTTTGTATTTTTTTTTTAAAAAAATCTTTCGTTTCCAAATATGGCTTTTCAACATCACATAAATATCTCGGTGTAAAATTAGCCCTTCAACCGCTTTCATTTCAGAGAAGGTCAACAGAACCACAGCATGAAGTATGTAATTCAAATTGTGATTTTTAATAACTATACACTTTCATGTTTCAAATGACATATAAAAGTGTTAATTTCAGTTCACAAATATTTTGAACTTTTCCAAAGGTCGATTTGGCGATATAAATTGATAAAGCGTGAAATGTGTTAATTTTAATTTCTCAAACAATTTAAGTAACCAACTCCAGTTATCACCTGAACAGTGAAATCAACAAATTATCGTTAAATAAAAATTCCAATAAAAAGAATGAATCACTCTCTTTTCAAAACAGGCTAACTTCACACAAATCATTATCACAATTTCATACTTTTTATGAATTTTATCAGTTTGCTTCTATCAAATATATAATTTGTTCATAAACAAAAATACCTGGTAATTAATCACTCTCTTTTCAAAATAGGCTAACTTCACACAAATTATCATCACAATTTCAATCTTTTTTTTTCTAATTTGATCAGTTCGTTTGCTTATAAATATATATTTTGTTAATAAATATAAAATAACGGATATGCATGTTGGGGTAGTCCTGTCTTTCACAGCCGAATCATTTGTTGTTCATTTTAAACCAATTTTTTGTGGATTTCATTGTTGGTTGGATCCACTCAATCAATTGTTTGTCAAAGTTTGGTACCTCCATAATGATTAAATAAATGATAAATCTTTAAAAAGCCCATTCCAACTTTTTGTTAAAATATATTACCGGTAGATACCCCCTCTTTCTCAACAGATTGATTTAAAAGATCACGTTTTAAGAATTAAAAAACAAGGAATAAATAATTCAACTTTTTGAGTAAAAATGTTTTAATATTCTGCACGAAGATAAACATACAGCACACAGATCTGTCAACGAAGTGTATGTACCCTTAGAGGAAGATAATTATGGGTAAATGTGTTAATTTTAAAACTTGTTTCCTGAAACAATTTAAGTGTTTAGCTCCAATTATCACCTGTACAGTGAAATTAACAAATTATCGTTAAATAAAAATTCCAATAAAAAGAATTAATCATTCTCTTTTCAAAACAGGCTAATTTCCCACAAATTATCCTCACAATATCAATCTTTTTTTTTTTTTTTTAAATTTTATCAGTTTGCTTCTAAATATATATTTTGTTAATAAACATAAAATAACGGATATGCATGTTGCAAAAGTCCTGTCTTTCACAGCCAAATCATTTGTTATTCATTATACCCCCCCCCCCTAAAAAGTGGGAGGGTAAACTGTAATTGGTATGTCCGTCTGTCTGTTACGCTTTGGGGTACCCATCTCTTATCCGCAACTCCTCTTGTACCACTGAGTGAAATTTAATGAAACTTTCATAGAACCTTTATTACATATTGCAATTGTGCACCTCCTATTTTACTTTTTGATCCGACACATATTTTGGGTTTCCCGGCCACAGCAAAACACGGATTTTGCCATTATAATCATATGGGAGGTGGTGGGTATCATTTAGTGAGCTCATTGCTCACAGTACCTTTAGTTTTAAACAATTTTTTGTGGATTTCATTGTTGGTTGGATTCATGCACACAATCAAATGTTTGTCGAAGTTCGGTGCCTTCATTTTAACGTATGATAAACCTTTAAAGGTACTTGGACACAGGTTTGAAGTTATTATTTTCTCTGCAGATAGAATATTTATACATGTATACTAGTAGCAATATGTAAACAACAGACCTAGTGAGTGACCACAACGCTCGATCATATGAATCCCTTTGGCCCTGTTGTTCCTCAAAATAAATTTTAAAAAGATTTTCCGTCGTTTTTCTTCCCATCAAAACTGTTGACCTCGTTTTGCAACCCAAGACTAGCTCGAGGAAGTCATAACTTATAAGTTATCTGCTGAATCCACTCAACAACTCTTGAGCTCAAAGCCCAAGTGAGCTATAAAAGAAAGGCTTAAGCAGAAATCAGCTGTATGCACAAATACAAAAACCTGCAAGACAATGGTCATACTGATAAACGTAGGTTGAGGGGAAAGTCTTCATTAAATTTTGTTTTAATTATAAATATTCAATACGTGCAATTTAAGAGACAAAAAACAAGCAGAAGAGAGGAAAGACCAAAGACAAGTGGATATTGCCACTTTTAGATTGGCACAGACCATCACCGTTTGTCATTAGATCAAATTATATCATTTTAGTTGATGAGCCGGCATTTGGGTCCTCTGTGAAGAAAAATGGACAACTGACGCTTTATTCCCTGACAGTAGATTCATCTTACATAAGAGCAGTATATTTCAGCACTAAAATTGAGGACCAGACCAGTAGTCTGCGATTTGAGTCTTTCTCTTGGGGCAAGGATTATCCAACTAAAGCGACTTTCCCTGTACAACTGAGAAAATGCACCTCCATATTCTCAGAGGTCTCGCCACCAACATCAGACATTCATGAAATTAATGTCGATTTTACCTGCGACCCAGCACTCTTCAGAAATCATTATAACTGACCAAGAGTATTCTGGGGAATTCAGTTTGGCGTTTATTTGTTCAATAACACAGATAATAGGATTCATTATCAACCAATAGAGAATCATGGTGAAAGAAAAGGTTTGCTACTGTCAAGGAATCATCGAAGCACAAGAAATTTTTTTCTCTCGGAGAGAAATGGTAGATACCTTACCTCGGGAAAACTCTTTTGACAGAAACACTGGACCATCTAAAGAATCGCGGTCAGGGGATAATTCTGTAAATAGCGAAACGTTTCTTGCTGAACACGAATTAGCAAACATAACCGTTGGGCCCACACCCTGGGTAAAGCTAAGCTTTCCCAAATCATATCTTAACTGAAAGTCACTCTCGATGCGCCTATCATCCTTGGACTGAGTATGGTGTTTTCCTTTGTTAAGAAAGTATCCATTAGCAGAGATCTTCCTTCTGGGGTATACCTATCAGAAAGTGAAGGGAAAACCTTTCCACAACCTTCAACTGTAATGTGCCAAACACTTGGGCAAAATGCCCCAAGAGTATACATGAAAAAAGATGGTGGTCAAATAATAAAATCTGACAATATCTGTATACAGGAGGTCAGGAGTCCCCTGTTTTCTTCCTCGCATGTCACATTCCTTATGAAAGACTTACGGAACAGAGAAATTGACGGTGAGTACACGTGTTTCTCTGAGAATCCAGGAGGTGACAAGAATGTGAGCACCTTTAAAGTGTACACAGGGCCAGCCTTCCTGGAAGACATTACAGAGATGACAGAAAGTAGTTCCAGAGAAGTAAGTTATTAACTGGTTCCTTTTTTTGTTTTCTTTAATGGTATTTGATTTCTTGTTTCTTCAACTTTAAGAATAAGACAATTTACAAAATGGCTTTCAGCTAAACTTATTAAAGGCTTATCATTTTCTTTAAATTCAAGAAAGAGGCCTATCACAAACAGGTTTTCAACCAAAAGCAAAACTTTAAAAATATTACAAAAAAAACTTCTCCTTATCTAAGAATCATGTTTATAAATCAGCGATTCCTTTCAGCTAAATCTTCGACTCGTGGTGGAAGGAAACGGTCAGATGAGGGTCTCCTGCCACGTCCCAGTGCCAGATCACATGATTCTGATCAAAACAGCAGAGAAAATAGAACCTTCATCTACCAAGTTAAAGAGAAAGGAGGTCACCTTGACCTACAAATTCCCAGTAGAGGCAGTCCGCCCCTTTGATTATTTCTGCAGTGTTTATGATGAATATGGAAATCACAATACTCGATACACCCATTATTGATCTTAATAGTAAAATAATGAGAAGAAATTTTAAAAGGAGCAATAAATATAAATGTTTTATTGTGCACAATTTTGCTTCAATCTCATTTCTGGTACAATGTTTTATTTTTGAACATGAGGGATACATATAGATCCAAATGAAAACAAAAACAAAACAAAAACAAAAAAAAAAAGAACATGTCATTTAATGTGCCAATGTCATACGTGGTGTATCACTGCCTCTTTTGAATATAAAGAATTTTGAATCATTAATGGACTTCATTTTGCAATTAGTTCATATAATATTATAGGTATCTATTAAGTTTAAATAGACAATATCAATGTAAACTTTATTTAAATAAATCCATTATTTAACAAAACTCTCCAAAAAAAATTTTTGTTCACAATAATTAAGATATACTGTAAGCACTGTGCTAACAAAATGGTAACCTGTGCTTCCATACAAGTGTAATGCCAAAATCAATTTCTTTGCTAAGGAAAATCCAAAATATCTGACTAATCAAAACGTAAATCGGGAGTTTCACAAAGGTACTATGTAATGAAGATTCTGTGAAAATCACATTGAATTATATTCCAGGTATAGGAGGGGTTGTGGATAAGAAAATAAGTACTCCTGAGTGTGGACGGACATATGGACACCCCAATCACAAAACATCCTAGTTTTGGGGGTATAATAAACAAAAACAGTAGAATTCAAAGTTAAATACATTCAGAAAACCATCACATAATAATGGATTCATGAAATATTTTTTTCTACTACATGTAGATCTTCATAAACTTGACGAGGATTCTTATAACAAAATTTAATAAAAAAATATATTTTAAAAAATATGTTTGCAGAAGAAAATAAATGTACAAATATATAACTAATTCTTTGAAAAATATCACAGTGTGATAAAAAAATATCACAGCGTGACAAAAAAATAAATAAAATAAAACAAAATTCTTCTTAAGAATGGACGGATGTGATTGGAAATTTTTACACAACACAGGAGTGTCTGTATAGTAAGCTCGGTAGGAGGCAATTATGGAAAAATATACTCTTAAAAAAAGACAAAAGAATAAGAATATTGCATGCTTTCACTCCCACTGCTTATTATGGCTATATAAAAACAGACCCAACCCCTGAAGACAGATTGAAATAATATAAATACAAGATGGTTAAAAAAATTCCAATCTAAAATGTCTTTTGAAACTTTTACATGTCTTCTTTACAAGATGCTGTATAATGCCGACTACTTTCCTTGAAACATTGTAAAGCCCCAGTAGCACTCAAGTTGCTACAAATGAAGTTTCATAGTAAGAGCTGACTATAAATTATAGGATAATTTAGTAAAACAGTTGAAAAAGAAATGTAGATATTGCCCTATTGATACATGTAGACCATTAGGATATGGGGGTTTTTAGGAACTGCATTTCTGAGGACAGAACATCTGTGATGTGGATACACTTTTTGGCCAAGTCTCCTCCCATTCTCTTCAGTGCTATTTCTGCTGCCTCCCTCACAGATTTAATTGGATCATTCCTCCTGTTGGTAAAAATGATAACAACAAGGAGTCGGTCATTTGAAACATTTATTTTCAGCATTCCTCAGTAACTGAATTTTAATGACTTAAATCATCAGATTTTACCATCGATCGGCAACTGCTTGTTCGCTTTTGCCCCCTGCCTTTAGGTATCCCAGAGCGAGACAGGCACTCTCTCTGACCAGTCTGTCAACATCTTCCAACATCCCAATTATCTTCTCCACAGTCGTCTTCTGGGCTCTCCCTAATCCAAAACAAAGAGGAATTAATTTTATTACCAATTTAGTATGTCTAACAAAAACACTTTACTTTATGGTAGAAATCAACAAAAGGTTACTCCAATGTAATCCATAAACAAACAAAACCCAGGGGCCACATCGCTCTCCTGAGCAATTGGCTATGGAAAAAACACGTATCAGATCAGAAATGAAAGCCTACTGAGGTTGGGGGGGGGCTTGAATTTTAACCCCCAGGGGGTCATGATTTGAACAAACTACAATCTATACTACCTGAGGTTGATTCCCTATAAATATCACTAAGCATGGCTTTGAAGTTTCCCTATATATTCCTATGTAAAACTTTGATCGGCCATTTTGGCCCCAACCTACCCCTGGGGGTCATGATTTAAACAAACTTGAATTTACACTACCTGAGGATGATTCCACATGAGTTTCTTCTTTCCTGGCCCAGTGGTTCTTGAGAAGAAGATTTTAAAACCTTTTTCCTATATATTCCTATGTAAAACTTTGATCGGCTATTTTGGCCCCATCCTACCCCCGGAGGTCATGATTTGAATAAACTTGAATCTACGCTACCCGAGGACGATTCCACATGAGTTTCATCTTTCCTGGTCCAGTGGTTCTTGAGAAGAAGATTTTTAAAGATTTTCCCTATATATTTCTATGTAAAACTTTGATAGGCGATTTTGGCCCCACCCTACCCCGGGGGTCATGATTTGAACAAACTTGAATCTACGCTACCTGAGGATGATTCCACATGAGTTTCATCTTTCCTGGCCCAGTGGTTCTTGAGAAGAAGATTTTTACAGATTTTTCCTATATATTCCTATGTAAAACTTTGATCGGCCATTTTGGCCCCACCCTACCCCCGGGGGTCATGATTTGAACAAATTTGAATCTACACTACCTGAGGATGATTCAATATGAGTTTCATCTTTCCTTGCCCAGTGGTTCTTGAGAAGAAGATTTTTTTAAAAATGCCATTAATTTTTCTCTAATTCATAATTATCTCCCCTTGGAAAAAGGCGTGGCCCTTCATTTGAACAAACTTGAATCCCATTTACCCAAGGATACTTTGTAGCAAGTTTGGTTGAATTTGGCCCAGTGGTTCTTGAGAAGAAGATCAA